AAAAGACACTGGTGTTCGTCGAAACGTGGAACAAAATCGTCACTCCCAGAATAACTATGCAAAATACGATCTAAAGTCGAACCATTCGAGCCACAATATTAACATAAAAATGACTTTCGTTGCATTTGACAATGATAAACTTACCGTAAAGCCGTGTTATTCTCGGTCGCTAACGTCGGTATAATCCGCCATTTTATTTGAGTGTTTGCCACCCGACTCCGCCCGGTGACGTCATCATGTGCGCTATAGAAGGAGGTCTGTGATTCGTTGACTAAAATCGTCGATAGTGGGTCTCGTTGAAATCTCGTTACATAGGCATCGGCTCAGATGTAGGTAGGGCAGAATTTAAAAAAAATCACAAAATCAAAATCAAAGTAAAATAATAAAATTAAAAGGCATTAATAACAAAAGTAATAAAAACAAAATTAAAATAAGTTTATAGCCAAAATAATTAAAGCCCGTACACTACATCAGATTTTAATCAGATTGTTCTAAGAATAGACGATAACAATGGAGTTTAGTTAAGTTCCGGTTTATTGTTCTGTACGATCATGAATTCTGGTTTGCAGATTTGTTGTTGAAAAAAATGAACCAAGAAACGGCCCAGAAAAACTGAATAAACGCGCATGTCTTCAACATAGCAAAACTTATATCCATATATATATATATATATATATATATATTACATGCGATATATATGTTAATAAATGCGATATCAAATAAACAGAAGAAAAATGTGAAAGCATTGTTATTTGATAAGGCCGGCATCTCTCGAGAGCAAGCTGCCACTTGTTCAAATGCCAAGGATGTCGTCACAACCTGCTGTGTGAAATATCGGTAAACACGCACGTAGACTGGTTTGTTTTGTGAGAAGCCATTTTGAAACACGACTCGCGTTAATTTCCCTCCGTGATGGACATTTTTATATGATTACACAGTAATATTTATAAGAGGTTAAATGAAACGTCCTCATAATTATAATCAATGTTTGATTTACCATGGTTTAGCAATAATCGGCCGCGTTACGATAGCAGCCGGAATTTCAAATCTTAAGATAGAAACAGCGTTCTTTTCAGGTTGTTTTGGCGCCACATACATTAATTTTATTATGCTGTACAGTAGATTTATTTGATTTTGTAATGTAGTTTTCATTCACAACATCGACATACGTTGATTGTTCACCGCGTTATTTTATTACCTTGAGTTGGTCAGTTTCACTCAAGGGGCCCAGTTTCCACGTCGCCAGTCAATTATCAAACACACGTCGCCTGTAATCACATCGTGGCGAATTTGAATATTATCCAGCGGTTTGTCATGGAACACAATTACTATCCATGTCTCATTAGGCAACCTAATTCTTTGGTTTTAAAGTCGCCTTTGACACGTGATTTTTGAATATTTAATGACTTCCTAAGCATCAATTCATTCCGTCTCGAAAAAAAATACGTTCCCTCCAATTATGTTATTTTTGACAGAATGTTTGCCTCACTGAAAGCCTGTTCCATATAATTATTTCCAAATATTAAACCCGAAATCACACCGTTTTTTAATCTTAAGAAGAATCCGCATTATTAAATAACGTTTAGTGCTAAATCAAGAAAACATAGGCTACTTACGGAGGTGGTTTGCGTGTGGTGAAGATTCCACCATTTTCAATGATGCATTATGTCCTGACTATTTTCTCATCCAATATTAAGATATATTGTGTCCTTTTGAAGAATTCTCTTCCGGTTTAAGTTGTCGCCATGATGGTGGAAGTGTTTTTGTGTAGAAAACGCGAAGCAGTCTGCGATTGAATAAGTCAAAGCAAGCGTCACGGGCGGACGATTTTTGTAAGGTCGAATAACCGTAATGTATTTTCATGGGAAAGCTTCTTCTGAATTATAATAATGAAGAAACCAATCCTTTTCTTATTGGACCGAATTCTTAATTCGCTGAAATGAACGGAAGACTGGCACAAACCATTTTCCCCAGCGGGGTGTCTTTTGACGTCGGCCCAAGATTCGTGAATAAGGCCGTCAAGCAAATGCAAGAAAAAACATTGGATGGGGGAATATTCCATTTAGTATCGAGGGGTAAGAAACACGATCCCCTGGCGTTAATTATTCGAACGCTATCAGCGTATTTTCCGTGTTGAACAAGATTTGCGTATAAGTAACTCACAAGTAGTTGTTGATTTCAAGACCCATACAACCTGCGCTCAAAAATCAGTCCCTCCGAGCATACCTTCTGCAGCTTTGTTTTGTATTCATAATGGTCTGTTCTATTGACGCAGATGCACGATAATAAGGTGTGCATGTTAACTAAGTCGCTGCCATACTTGTCAGCCACCGAGAGACATCTCCTGACGACATATAGCAACTCTGTGTTGCCATAGCAACCACACATCATTCTCGTTGGGAAAAATAAGAAATGTTCAAGTGATGAAGATAAAGGTTATATGCATAAACCCCAACCGACCACGCAGAATGAAGCATGCGGAGCCGAGCGCACGTACATATATCTGTAATGCATTCAAATGAGCTCATACTTAATTTATATGCAAGTGCCCCGTATGAATTGATAATATAAGCATAAATGCGTCTTCAATGCCGACCGACAAGGGGCAGTTTACATTAATGACAACGAAGAAATTAATTGTCCCGACTACAGTAGTTGTGGCTGTAGGTGTTATTGCTTTGAAACAACACACTTGCGTCACGGTCGCACCGCGCGCGTGCGATATCACTGCCGGGGACTCCGGGTACACACGGGTCTTTAAGCAAGCTCTATTCAACTAATTTGCATAACATGTGTGTGCATGCTCGTTAGTGTATTAGTATGTATTTCTAATAGAAAAGAACGACACATGCGTTATAAGCTGAATATCTGACAAAGAAAGTCTTTATACGTTGATATATTTCTGATCAGTATAATTTTGCTTGTTTACCTCATATACTATATGGTTTAATAGACAGATTTTAGTGAGTTATGTGTTATGACAGTGTTATGTTCACATTATGCTGAAATACACGTAACTGTTCATTTTATTTTGAACTGCAATTAGTTAACGCCGCAAGACGTATACGCATAGGCGCCTTAATCGATATCATTTATGATGTAGTGGGATTTTCCACTGGCAATTCCCCTCGAATGATCCCGATTAAGGTTGGTAAATAATTACTGAAAGCACACCCAATTCAGTTTAAATTGAAAATGGACAACAAACAAACGTTCAAGAACAAATCAGTCGTCTGATATTTGTTAAAGACAGTAGTCATGTTCTCACTGGCGAACTCGACCCGGTTCGAGACAGAGGTGTTTGGATTGATGGCGCCGCGTTCACGTACGAAGGGGATCCAGTCGACATGTGCCGAATTCACGTTCCGAGTTAACATAGTCTCCCAGTGGTCATGTTCCTTGATAGCATGGAATGTGGTACTACCTTCCAAGTTGACATGGAATAGAAACGATATTTTCATGAACAATACATTTTTGATGGTGACAACTACCGATATTAAAAATTGGTCGTCTTTTATGAAAATTAAACTGTAACTTAGGTTCTATAATTTCATGAGCATCAATTTTGATTTATTAAAGAACGCTTAAAACTTCGCGGAAGGAATTTAAATGGTTACAAAACAAAGAAAAGACATTACACGAACAATAATTGCAAACAAAAAAATTGAATTATAAAATACAGAATTAACAGATATAAGATACAACACTGTAAAAAGCAAAATGTCAATTTAAAGGAAAACAATTAATTTGGAAGGAGGTGTTGCTGTCTTTGAAGGAAACGTTTTGTATTAATTATCGCCAATTATATCGTCAGTAATGATATCACTCACGCTTTCTAAACAGGTGATGTTGGATATGAACATATCCATATATGACCTTGAAACTGAAAATAACATATATGTACCAGCACTTCGATAATCATACATTTGTTGGGTGTCAGTTTCGGTACCACTAAATGCGTCTCAACAAACAAAGATCGGCACGTGGCCAATTGGATCTGGATTTCCAAGTGGACCGAGATACACAACAACTAGGCACGTGTCGACTCGCCTCCGACTGTTGTCACACGGGTTTCGGCACCGTGGCGTACGGGGATTTGAATAAATCTCAATCCGGATCGGATTTTTTGTTGAAATAATAATAATGTCATACAGAGTGATCTTCGAATCGTTATCTCTTTCCACCAAGCTTGTAAATGTCGGCACTGTGGTCGCCCGTGGCAACGTAATACTGTCGTAGAGGGCGATATACGATATATAGCACAACGCCGAACTTATACGCTTCCTGACATTTAGGTTCATTCGTATTCGAAGACAGAGAGAGAGAGAGAGACAATAAATTGACTGCAAATGGATTTTATTCATTCTGGAAAGAATCGGGAACAGAATTGGTAGAATGGGTATAATAATGATGATTATCTAATTTTAACCTGGATGCAGAATTGGTAAAAGGGGATATAATAGCGAAAAATCATTTTATGTTGGGTAGACAACAGGGGAAGGAAAATGTCCATTTTCTTTTGAAATTTACTTTTTTTGCCACGTACGTGTCTACATTACTAAAAAAATACAATGCAAAGAAAAACACATTTCTCCCTTCTGTTACGCTCTCAATTTGAGCTTATTTGGCACAACTATTAAAATCTTAAAATAACAGCCACGACTTATATATAAATTGTGAAAATTACCATTACAAACAATCCGTGTCTAAGTGTTGGCATAGTTGTCAACTATTTTCCACTTTTATAGATTCAACCCATGAGGCAAGATATCATAGAGAAATGTGTACATACTAGTAATTGCAAAAGATCACAGTCTCAAATAACTGCCAACAAACTTGCGTATCACCTTCTAAATAAAGATAAGCATTTATTTTGGAAAGAAATCATCACCCAACATGGCACATTTCTATTACCATCCACGGTTAACTCTGTCAAACATAAAACAGAAGTAATGGATCATAACTCCCCGATGAAAGAGCTCGGCAAATGCAAGAACATGCAATTTACAGTTTCACTTCTCATTTCTCTAGATATTCAATTTTTCATCAATTTATGTAGACCGCCATCTTGATTCTTCAGCAAAGGATTATGGGTAAAGTATCATAGACATCATAGTCTATTGTCAGAAATTGAGAAAATTTACCAGCAGTTTATTATTGTAGTCAAGAATTAGAATTTGTTGAATTATTTGAGTCACAAACTTACTCATGATCTTAATTAAATTCGATATTGACTTGATCACCAGAGACGTTTGTTTTGTATTTCGTGCTAATCTGTTGCTGCGACGATTTGTGAACTGTAACACAGAAGTTAAGCAATTGTTATTTAAAACTTACTGTTCTCGTTTTTATTGCTGTCAATTATGGTGTTGGTTTTGAAAGGCGAGAAAGTTACTATCATTATTACTGAACGCGTTTATACCTCTACTATCACATTGTATCTAGTAATATCTATTAGTGAAATACGTTGGAAGTCATAGTTGGTGCAGTACTGGAATATTATTGTTTTGCGAGTTATTTTATATGGACCCTGTCTGAAATAAGAATAAATATATACTCATAAATTGTCTAAAGTACCTTCTTCTGTTACACCTGGGAAGGTGTTTCGCTTGTTCGTAACAACAAATATATGCCATGGAACATTATTTATTGTAATCAATGTTTGTAGTTTAAGTAGAATAACGGATTACATTTCATAAAAGAATTCTATCTGTCTGATTAATACTAAATAGGCGGATTTTATTACTGTAAAACGTGTCGCGAGCATGTCTTTTTCGCAAATTTAGCGAGAGAACTGATTTGCTAATTCAAGATGTCGCTAATGACTTTATTATCAATTCAAAATGGCCGCCAGACAAAGAAATCAACAATGACAAGAGAGATTCGCTAAATCAACATTTCGTTATTACGTCATTTTACCACAATTCGCTAAAATTGCATGCCGCTTTTTCAACATGTTTTACAGTAATTATAGTAATGGAAATTAGAATGTTGAAAATACACATAAAGTTAATATATTGCCAAAACGTAAAAACAATAAAAACCATTATTTTAATCATTAAATATGGAATGACACTTTTTTGTTCCCTTTTTGCGGCCAACAGGTTATATATCAGCTTTACAACCGACATACAATATAAGGAAATTTGAGCATTTGGTGAAAAACACAAAAATGAACATTTACAGTTCTGTTGTCATGACAACTATTTTTATATGGAGGTTTGGCACCGGAACATGCATGCTACCATGTCCTAAATTTCAACCAATCTGAAGTTCAACTTTTGAAGTTATAGATGAAATCATTTCCTCAATTTCTGACAACAGTTGATATGATGTCATACTTTACCCATAATCCTTTGCTGAAGAATCAAGATGAGTGGACTACATAAATTAATGAAAAATTATCTAGAGAATGAAAAGTGATACGAAAAAGCTGTAAATCGCATGTTCTTACATTTGCCGAGCACTTTCTTTAAATAGTGTCACTGACACGAGCTAACCACTCGTATTGATTACAGCAGCAAAAGAAATTATTTACTTATAAATAAGCTATATATCAAAGCTTCCCCAATGTTGCATCTTCTTCTGTTCCAATAGCCAAACATGGCTGCTAGGATTTAGCTACACAAAATGAAACAACTTTAAAATATAATCAGAATAATTACATTTTTGGGAATCTGAATGACTCATCCAAATCTCTCAAATGTTACATCGTCTCCTGTTCCAATAGCTAAACATGGAATCAACTTAATCAAAGGCTCCATAATGACAAAAAAACGTGCGAAACAGTCATGCTAACTTGTTTTAATTTGTCAAACACCAATTTGAATACCATTCTGGTGAAATTTATTTTGTTTTTCATTTAGTTACAACGATTCATCCAAGTTTGAATGAGAGATTTCATGTAGCAAAATGACAACATTCACATTCAGTTTTAATTTAAGATTATAATTGAAAGTTAGGGCAGTATTCATCATACACTATCACGTAATTATTTAAAGTTGGTACAGAGGCAATGTACTGTGCTGTAGCACAGATTGATCTAAGTGCATTAAAGCATGAATATGTATGATTAAGATAGGCCTGAAAATGACTGTCAAAGAAGCAACTCTGGCTTATGGCATTACAGCAATTACTTCCACAATTAGGCATGTTATATGTTATTTTTAAGAAATACCTACACAGATATCATAGTGAGCAGACATAACTTGAACAGTGATGCCTCATTGCAATTCAAAGACCTAAATACACTTCACAAAACAACAAAACTGAACATAGGCAATGTAAGGGCCGTCATGGTAAAGGTAAGCTCTCTGACAGTGTCCTGGTATTTCCCTAAGCGCTACTCCAAAACAGAAAGTCCAGTAGCAGATCACTGTATCTGACTCACAATGATTCAACTCAATCTGTGATAACCAACACCAATGTTGCATTTGAGTTTGCAAAATCATCTCCAGAACCCATCTTGAAAGGGTGGTACAACGAGCAAGCACCTTTCCCTTTTTTCATGGCAGTGAACCTCTTTGCTAGAGTAACCTTTGCTTCTCGTAAATCAAGGGTATGTGCATAAGGCATTCAAGGAAGTCCTTGGCCAATGTTTGGAGAAACCCTGCAAAGACTCATGGGTAATGGTTACAAAATGCTTTCTACAGCTGATAGATTTGAATGGAGTG